CAATTCTTTTTTTGGCTTTTATCTGAATTTTTTTATAAATTATTTATCAAATTTTATATTTATAAAATAATAGATATAATTTTAAAACCGGCACTATGGGCCATAGCGCCTAGGTGGCGCTATGGGTCATAGCGCCCCACTTTTATTTTTTTCAATTATTATTTTATAGTTTAATTATTATTTTTTTAACAAAAATTATTTTTTATTTTTCTTATATTATGTTATTTTTATTCATTTTTTTCTTCACATAATTTTTTATATTTTTAAATTTATATTAATATATTTTTTATATTATTTATATAAATGTGTTGTTATAGGCTATAGCGACTTCAGTTTTAGCCGGATTGAGTCGCTATAGGCTATAGCGACTTCTTTTGAGACTCTAGCAGCTACAACGACTCTACTAATATGACATTCATGGTTTATAATCAGACCCAAAATTGTCACGTGTCAATGGTGTCGCTATGGCCCATAGCGACACCGTAGAAAACAGTCCCAAAAGTGTAATATGTTTCAAAACAACCACATTTTAATAAATAATTTGTAAAAGTGCTCTAAAATGGTCGTTTAGCCGCAACTTTACAATCACTTAGTACCACAACTTCTATATCCTTTAACAATTATCTATAACTGTAATATTTGATATATAGGGTAACTATTTTATCCTTGAGATTAAAAAATAGGACCTATTCTTCATGTAATAATAAAGGATAAAAAGGAAAAAATTAAAATGTGTACACAAAAGCCTAAAATGTGCCTTTATCTATTGTTAATTATTTGTTATAGATTAGAGAATAAAAATATTGATTATTTATTTTTTTTAGAAAAAGATAATGATTATTTATAGCAACTTAAATTTTTTTTATTATTAATTATTTGGTAGATTGCAATTAAAAAAACTTATGAAAGTCCCTTAAATAATCAATATTACACATTGTGATAACAAAAATTTACATAAATCAAAATTAGAATTAAATTTTTCCCACATTGTTAACCTCTAATAATTTTCCAAGGAAAACAAACTTCTATATTCTGTTTGATATGGTACAGAAAAAGTGACAGAGAAGAAAAGAATTTAGAATTTATATTAAAACAATGGAAAAAAAACGAATTAATTTTAAAAAAATCAATATTCTTTCTTTCTCTCTTTCTATTTTTTCCTCAACTAAATAAAAAAAGAAAAAAGTCATGATCCATATTTCTTTTTCTTTTCTATTTTCCCTCCTTTCATCCAAGCATTCCATTAATGTAAAGAGAAATCAAACTTTGATTTGTTTCTTAGTGAATAAAGTATTCTTCATACTTACTTAGTTGTACGCCTTTGTCAACAGTCAATTTAGTTTTACTTTTAAGAGACGCCACACTTCTATTCTAACAAAGTAGGCTTTGCCATACAGCTCAAGTTGTTTAACTTTAAATGAAACAACAATTGCTGGTTTTTGACCATTTGGGTTCCGATTTTGAAATTTTAATTTCAATGAATATAATTAGAATTGGTTTAAAATTTCGTACAAATTCAAACTCAATTCTATTGTGTAAATATAAGATCAAAATTCAAAAATAAAATTAATTACAAATCAATCTATTTTTATAGTACTAATTGAAAGATAGAGTTATCTCTCATACTTATAATACTTGAATATACATGTCATAAGATCTTAGTTATCGGTCAAGCAACACTACTAACATCCAACTACACCAGGGTAGCTTAAAAGATTAGCATCATTATCACCAAAATGGTCTCAAACAAGCTCCAACTCCAACCTATCCTTGCTCTGATTGCATACTAAGTATGATCATCGTAGTCCAATTACATAAAAAAACATGTAAGGATAAGTTAATATTCAAAATAATCAATATACAAATAGACCCTACTATACCATCAACATAATCAACTCAACTTATTCAACGCATTACAATATATTCTTCAACTTGAGCAACATATAACAGTACAACTCAACATAGCATGTGAACAAGATACCAACATA